TATTTTATTGTTTAAATTTCAATTTTTAATTTTTAAGTGTTATATGTTTATTTCATTGATTTAATTGTAGTTAATTTATTTAATTGTCTTATTTACTGCTTTAACTGTATTAATTACTTAATTGTTACTTAATTATTTTTGTTTTAATTAATTGTGTTAAGTATTGATTTAATGTTATGAACTTATTTAATTAAATGTAATTTATTTTGTTGTTAACGTAACTGTAAGGTTGGTTGCATATAGAGTATTCACATAAGTAGCCGACATAGGTTTAACCTAGATTTTGCTATGGGCCGAGTAATCCGATTAGGGTTTAACTAAGCCTAGGGTTAGTGTGGCCTATAAATACTCACCTAGGATGTCTGCCTAGGGTTTTAAAAGAAGATTACTACGACATAGTAAGGTTACGAGAGGTTTTGGAGACGGCTGGGAAAGAAGAAAGCAAACAGAGGATTCGCCGGGAAATTTAGATGGACGTCGGTGTAAGGCAAGTTCTATCCTTACTCTCTCCCTTAGGCTTCGTGTTCTTTGCATTCCTAATCAGTTCTAGGAGTAATTGAATGTTAAAAACAACATCTGTTTGTGTTAAAACTTGAAGTATATCAGTATGTTTGTATGCTTGTTATAACTGTTAAAACTTGATAGTTTCTTGCATAATTCTTGGTTTAAATTCATGTTAGTGATGTATTAAAGACTTAAACATGGACTGGGAACACACTGGGGTTTGGTTACAGTGTCTGGATGCTATAGCAGTGAGGTCTAGAGGCTGTAGAAGTCAGCGGAAGAAGAAAAGACGAGGCAGAGAGGGAGAGAGCCGGCTCCCTTGGAGTTAGAGGCGGCTCCCAAGTATGGGAGCCAGCTCCAAGGCCCAAAGGAGGCGGCTCCATAATTTGGAGACGTCTCCTTGATGCATTTTTATTTTTTTCTTCGTTTCTAGTTAGTTTTTCAAGCAGTGGATGATTTTGGAATTTTTCAGATGAGTTTAGGTCTGAGTGTGGATGGTTTAAATGAGGCTCGTGGCTATGTTAAGGTTCCAAGAGGTGTATTAATAAACTAAATACCTGGGTAGCTTGGACAGTGGATAGTTTAAACAAATTAATGCACTGCTTAGAGCTAGAAGATTTAAATTGCTTAATCAGTTATTAGCAATTTTTCTGGGATGAATAATATAACTGGAACATGTTTCACCATGTATCGTGATCAGTTGCTGAATTACATCTGTTTTGGAAAAGTTAGTGTTCAATGATATTAAGATTTAGACAACTTAGCACTACTGGATTCTGGGAAATACCGTGGATTAAGCATGTCTATATACATACTGTAATTCTGTCTTGATGCGTGCATTAATAATATTAGTATCAACTGTTGGAGGAATGAACTTTATTGATGTTTATTCTAAATGTCTGTAATATCAACTGCTGAGTGTTGAATGATAATTTGAAATAATCCTATCATTATATCAGATTTTACGAAACAACCTAAACTGAGTAGGTTTGTATATATACGGTGACTATGTTTCTTGGTGCTTACATTATGACTGTTAGTATCAGTGTTGGATATAAAACTGAACATGTCTATGTATATAGCTGATTATGTTTATTGATGCTTACACTATGTATGCTACTATCAGTGATAGAGATATGGATTTAGTTGATGTTTACTTTAACTGTTGATATTATCAACTGCTGGATGATTGGATAGTATACACCGATATAGGATGGTGGTATACTAGGGATGGTTTGGTTTCAAAATACCACAACCTACCTACTTTGGATTAAGAATTAGATTAACTAAAAGTTAAGTCATATTGATTGTAGTGTCATTGCAACGACTAGCTGAGCGGCACTACTAGGATTCAAGATGGATTTTAAATATATTGTTATGGTATCTCGATATGAGCTTGAGTCTCAGGATCGACGGTTAGGGAGCGTATATGCATTGGGATGCATAGCTGGATACGATGGTTAGAGGTGTACCCTGTTTAGGTTTAGGTACACATGCCCACTTCGTGTGCGTTTTAGTATGTTACCTCTATTCAGGATGAGACCGGCCTGTAGTCCAGTGAAAGTCCTTTAGTGTGACTATATATATATTTACGGACTATTAGTTATTGTGGAATTGTTTAGGATGTACATGCGTATCGGGCATTTGTTTGGATTGTAGTAGTATAGAACTTGCGCGTGGGCCTGACCCAATTCTATTTTTTAAGTACACGAGAGTTCCAGACTTAGACGTGTTCATGCTGAGCAGAGGTTTCTACTCACTCTATCGACGATATAGAATTTCTCTCCATAGCTTATTAGGATGTTCCTTCAGTTGTTTTTAATTCAGTTTGGATTTTTATTAGGGGTCCACTAGAGATGGATTCCCGAGTTGTTAAACTTGTGGAGTTTGGACTATCGGATTCTAACAATTATATTATTGGGATTTAAGTATCTATTTTTAAAGGATTTATATTTAGTTTCTTTCAACTTTTAATATTTAATCTTATTTCATTTTGTATTCCGTGTTCGTTTTAAAGTATTAATTGTTTGATATCCCTCGGATTTGGGCCTGGGCTTGATCAACCCGTGTCTCGGATCGGAGGTGTATCACAGTGCCTCCTAGGCGTCCAGTTTTCGCAAACTCCTTTAAAAAAATATATTTTTTCCAGGAACAAATTTATTTATTTTAAAACATTTTTACCCTTATTTTTTTTTCCAATGGATGCAAAAATGCTTCATCCTTCATTTCATTAATTCAACCATGAAGTTTTCACATACTTTTTCAAATAAATTAATAAGTTACTAAAAATGGACAATTCATATTCTCATTCCACATTTTACTAGTAATTTAAATCAACAATTCACAAATTTATTTTCATACTTATAACATAAATTTTCTTAGCAATTGAAATCATGAAAACAAATGAACATTAAGCATGCTTCTTTACAAGTTAAAAATTATCATACTAATAAACCCAATTAACACATAACACACATTTATCACCATCAATATAAATAACCCTAACAAACATTATCACAAAAAAAATAAAATTAAGCATGCTTAAAGTCAAATTAAAGGGAAAAATTCACAAGAAATGCAAGAATTAGTGGATTAGAGCACCCCTACCTCAAATGGGAGAAAAAGCCCTAATTTGAATCCAAGAATCCTAGAATTTCGAAATCCCTAGGCTAGGCCAAATGGTGTTTAGCTCCTATCAAATTGACGGCCTCGATGAACTCTCCGACTTTACTTCACAAAGTTCTACCAAAATCCAAAGGAGCAAAGCTAGATCAAGCTTTGAAATTGCAAAAAAAGAAAAGAAAAGTGAGATGCCGAGAGGAGAAGGGACGCAGCAGAAGGAGAGAGAAAACAATTGAGTCGTGTAATGGCCTTATGGCCTTTTTGTGCGTTTAATATATTGGTAGGGCTCACCAACTTTCGAAAAAAGAAATATCTTTATAACTTTAATATATATATATATTATTCAGGAAAACTATATATATTTTTGATGTTTGGTTATTGTAAAAATAAAAAAATATTTTATTTAAAAAAAAAAATCTAAAAAAATATTTTACGTCAAAACAAATCTTTGACCAAACTCAACTTGAGATTAACCTAATGGTTCTACCGACCTCAAGCTAAATTAAAAAATTTGATCACGAGTTAACTTGGATTGAGGATTATGTTATATTAAACTTTGTGTCGAATGTTTTATATCTTGAATAGAAATTAGATTAACCCGTTAACAACTTTTAGGAATTATTGCTCCTCCTATTTTTTTCAACCATGGGATAAAGTATGGTCTGAGTCGCACTATGGGACCCACCAAATTCAGCAATATATTAGTAGGATTTTATTTTGATCATAATCAGGTTTTTTCAAACCATTAGGCTGTGTTCATACAGTGAAAAGAAAAGAAAAAAAAAAATACTAATTATGTGACAAAGAAAGGAAATAAAAATTTTTAAACACCTTTCTATAATTCTATGTTTAAAGGTCTAGATACAATTTTATTTTTCTCATTTATAAATTCAAAGATAAATTTGGAATTACAAAGTTCATTAAGATTGATATCAATTTTTTTTTTGGGTTGAAATGACACCGAAACCACTATTGATGGGTAAGGGGCTGTTTGGAAGTCGTTTTTGTGTTGCGGGTGATTTACTGTAGCAAAACAAAACATCATAGGACATTTGTTAACTTTTGTTGTGATTTGAATAGTACTGTGTTTGTTGGTGAGAGGAGGCCCAAATCCAAAACAAAAAAATGGTTCTAAAAAAATTTGAATTTCACCTCATGTTTTTGTTTCTAACAATCTTGCAATAAATTTTAGAACATCCTTCCAGTCACTATTGAATACAACTTCGTTCTGTTTTAGTTAAAAACAAAAGCTCAAAATGACAAACACACCCTAAGGGCTTGTTTGGACAACGCCTTCTGTTTTGATCAAGAGTAATGATGGATCTGCCAATTTTGCTTAATCCAATTTCTGCTTTTTAATAAATAAATAAAAAAAATTTGGAAAAGGCATTTGCTTATCTTGTTTTATTTGTTAGGCTATTTACATGAGCTACAGAAAATAAATAACTTGTCCTGTTGCCTGTTGGCTGTTGCTTTCATTTGTTCACATCATGCTTTCACCTAAAAGTGATACATAACATGTCAAGCTATGGCTACTATTATATATATATATATATTTAAGAAGCATGACCCTCCATGATTGTGCCCCTAACTGTTAGATTATGAACTTGTTACCTATTGATGGGGCCATTTTTGCAAAAAAAAATTAAAAATAAAAATTATGGGGCCATTTCTTAATAGCTCAATGTCACCCGGGTATCGAAAAAAATAGTATCTCGATGGATGCTAATGTAATATTATTCCCTACAATCAAGAGGAGATTCCATGACCGCTACTTTCGATTATTAATTATTATTATTATTTATTTATATTTTCTGTTGCTATTTAGGAAGTACGGATAATTCACTTAGGAGAATTGTGACGGTATTGGACAGTAGAACTTGGGTGGCTAAAAATGTCTTGAATTTTGAATATTTTATTTTCTGATTAGACACCGTTAGGACACGGCATGAACACAACAAAGACACGTTCTGGACTCTTTCTAAACAGGACATGGTGATTTTGTAATTATTATTTTTTTTTTTAGAAAAATGAAATATAATGCAATTTTAAATATATTATGGACTAATATAAAAAATAATATAAAATTGGAAACTATATAAGTATAGGGTGTTCCACAAGACAAGCAATTTACAACCCTGATACTTTTAATAATTAGTTTGCTTAGTGGAGTTACCAAACTTTACATGATTCCCGCCAAGATTTGCTTCGATGGACACAAGTCCTTTTACACCTTTTTATTTTATTTTATGTTAACAACCAACAATATAAATACTGGTCAAGATCTCCTTTCCTCTCTCATTCAGCTCTTTCTTGCTCTGAAACATAAAACTATATTTTATATTATTTTATGTTAACAACCAACACCTTTTGGTCTGGTTTCTGCCCCCTTCCAAGCGTTCATACTGGTCAAGATCTCCTTTCCTCTCTCATTCAGCTCTTTCTTGCTCTGAAACATAAAACTAGAGGCTAACATGTATTACAAGATTTAGGTAAAACTTACTCCAGAAGTCTCCCACATTACTAACAAGGTGCACTAGTTTCTCAGAGTATTTAAAAACTAGATGGAACTTTCAATTGTAAAATTCAGAAAAGCAATGAACTAGATAGAATTTCATATCAAGTTCAGAATAGACTGACATTATCTGTTTCCAGAATGGCAGTTTCTTTCTTTTAAAATTAAAAATACATGGAATACAATATTGTAACCATTTTTTCACTTTGAGCAGGATGGACAAAATTGGACTGGACCTACGACCTCAACATTGCAGCTCGAAGACAATGAATTTACAGGCTTGCACATTGATCAAAATTGAAAGCCATACCTGGACACATATGAGGACATAATCCAGTTATAATATTGGATGACTCTGCTGCTTCAAGATCAGATAAAGCATTGCCACTGGAGAGATCCCCCACCATATCGGCAGAATGTTCCTCCATTAATTTTTGCCTTCCCATAGTCCGATCAGGTCTATTCGTAGAGAATTTCTGGTTTCCATTACCAGGAGTGCTTTGCAATGGTTGGCTTAGTTCGACCTTGAAACGGGCCATTCTCTTTGCTTTGGCTTGCAATTCTCTGATAATCACAAGTGAAAAGACATAAGAAACATAATGAACTGGAATTAATAATATGAATAACAAGAGTAACAAATGATAATTAGATTCTAAGCAGATAATATCTTACCGTTCATCATCATCTTGGACTGAAGGGGAAGGAGGTGACCTAGTTCTTTTGATAGCTGGGAAGTTGGCACGCTTCACAACAGCAGCACCATTGATGCTTTGGGCAGGTGGAGGATGAGATAAAGCAGGCCTGCAAAAACAAACACACACACACAAATAAAATAAGGCACAATTAGAGAGATCTGAGGAAAGAATAGAAACCATATATCACAATTGAAACTATGTAACTTAAGTGCTGGATCAAAAGGAACAAAAATTAAGAAACCAATAAGCAACCAATAAAGACCACTAATCGAAAGGAAGGAACACGCAATTAGTGTGGATAGTAAGAGTATGACAAAGAGAAGAGTATGGAACTCTCCTATTTATTCCTATTCCATAATAAGTCTTATTCTTGCACGGAACCAACTAAAGACAATCATTGATGGCGTGCCTTATGCATTCACCATTAATGACATTGCCGCGGCTTGGAAATGCTCTTTGAATTCACCTTTGGATGAGGATGACGTACCAATCTATGGCATTTTCCCAGACACCATTGACCACTCGGACATTGTGCGTGAGATTTGTCATAATAATTTCACATATAAACGCACAACTAGCACCAAAACAAGTCATACCTACCGTGTCGGATTTGGTTTTTGGATTCCGTCTTGGCCAAGAATGTCTTTCCGGTTGCCAAGCATTCTGAACGAAAGGGTGTTTTTCTGAATACTCTATATGCAGCAGGAAAAGGTCATTGGTTTTGCGTCCCCCAGCTCCTTTGGGACCAAATTCTTAAGCTTTACAATGAGCTCATTGTTGGGCAATTGGATAATGCCTTGACATGGAAATTTCCCTTCCCCTATTTGATTACCAAATTGCTCAAAAACAAGGGGTACAAAGTGCTGCGTAATGAGGAGAAGGAAAAGGATGTGTTTTTGTATGACCTTACCGAATGGAAGAAGAGCACTTCGCAGCTGAAAAAAGCTAGACAAGTGCGCATTGGTGACGTGCTCAATTGGGGGAACGTTCCTATTGCTGCAGAAAATGCTGCCCCTGCACCTGTTGCTGCCCGCCACCTGCCATGACACGAGCTGATTATGATTCTCTTACCACTCGCCTTGACACCCTTCACATGCGAGTTGAGACTGTGGAGGGCACCCTTACGGATTTTCATAAGGAGACTAGGGAGGGCCAGCAGGTCTTGCAGGCAATGCTGCAGTCCTTGATTGACCGAGCACCAGGAGGAGTCGGTGCTTCATCCTCTACTCCGATGGCGGATTGATTTGCATTTGTTATTTTTGCTTTATTTTTCAGTTATGCTTTTTGTTACTATTTTGGGCCGCTTTTGGTATTGTTTTCCCTTTCTGCAAACTTATGGCTGTGATGCTGTTATTATTTCGCTGTTTTGTGTGGATGTTTTTCTTGCAATAAAATAAATTTTGGATTTTGTTTAATTCTGTTTTTATTAAGTAATTTATCATGTTATTTGTGTACATAAGTGTGTTTGACAGGTTTTCTTGTCCAAGTTTGGGGGCGTTACGTTTGGAATTTGCATGGTGGAGTGCAGTCAAGACACCATTAATTTCCCTTCCTTCCCTGGCATTATTGTTCCTTTTACCCTCTCTGTTATTATCTTGATTTACTTTTCTTCACACATTGAGGACAATGTGTTATTTAAGTTTGGGGGTAGATTTGTGTGTTTTATTCAGTTTATTGTGTTAATGTATTACAAGATTTTGGTAAAACTTACTCCAGAAGTCTCCCACATTACTAACAAGGTGCACTAGTTTCTCAGAGTATTTAAAAACTAGATGGAACTTTCAATTGTAAAATTCAGAAAAGCAATGAACTAGATATAATTTCATATCAAGTTCAGAATAGACTGACATTATCTGTTTCCAGAATGGCAGTTTCTTTCTTTTAAAACTAAAAATACATGGAATACAATATTGTAACCATTTTTTCACTTTGAGCAGGATGGACAAAATTGGACTGGACCTACGACCTCAACATTGCAGCTCGAAGACAATGAATTTTCAGGCTTGCACATTGATCAAAATTGAAAGCCATACCTGGACACATATGAGGACATAATCCAGTTATAATATTGGATGACTCTGCTGCTTCAAGATCAGATAAAGCATTGCCACTGGAGAGATCCCCCACCATATCGGCAGAATGTTCCTCCATTAATTTTTGCCTTCCCATAGTCCGATCAGGTCTATTCGTAGAGAATTTCTGGTTTCCATTACCAGGAGTGCTTTGCAATGGTTGGCTTAGTTCGGCCTTGAAACGGGCCATTCTCTTTGCTTTGGCTTGCAATTCTCTGATAATCACAAGTGAAAAGACATAAGAAACATAATGAACTGGAATTAATAATGAATAACAAGAGTAACAAATGATAATTAGATTCTAAGCAGATAATATCTTACCGTTCATCATCATCTTGAGGTGACCTAGTTCTTTTGATAGCTGGGAAGTTGGCACGCTTCACAACAGCAGCACCATCGATGCTTTGGGCAGGTGGCGGAGACCTGCGATGAATTTGAGAATCAGGAGCATAGGAAACAACATTTGATCTAGTATAGTTTCACTGAAAGACTAGATCAGCAGAAGGTGACCTAGTTCTCTTGCGGACTGAGAAGTTGGAGGCTTTAGTCACAACAGCTTCACTACCAATACTCGGTGCAGGTGGTGAGGACATCCAATGGATTCGAGAATCAGGAGCACTGGAAACAACATTTGATGCAGTACCCGAGATGGGAGGAGATAGAGTAGGCCTAGACAAGGAAAACACATGATAAGGTTCACCAAGATGGGGGGTTAAAACAAACAGGCATATACTTCAATTTTTTATGATTCTCTAGTACATAAAGGATGATGACAAAGGGATTTTTTATCTTCTCTTCATCTCCTAGGAGCTCAATTACATCATTCTCCATTCTGATAACATTGTCAATAAAGTCCAAAAGGGAATCAGATATATATGTTAATTAAAAAGAGTAAAAAGGCCTGCTTAATCTCCTTTTAATTCTAAGGATCAGTACTGACCTCATCATCACAATCTTTTGGGGTCTGAGGATGTAAGCACTTGTAAAATTTTCAATAAAATGGTAAGTAGATCCCTTTGATAATATAAACTATTAGGATTGCCATTACAACCTTCTAGGTTCAAGATTTGAGGTTTGTGATACCTTTCATGTTGAATTCCCAAGGTGAAAATACTTCTTACTTCATTATGTGTGAATTATGCTGCTCGAGTCGTAATCTTCAAGGATTTAAGTCTACCAATCCAGGGATTTTTATAGACAATTAAGAGCTTTTCACTGAGGCTCTCGTATTCTCTATTTAGTTCATAGAAATGGAGATCATGTCCTAAAGGCATTACTTTTCCTAAGATAAATCTTAAGAGGTGCTCCTCTTAAGTTAAAACAAAAGAAATAAAGGGAAAGAAAAGAAATCATAATACTTTTCTGCCCATATGGAACAACCATCTTTTGGCATCATTGTTTTTAGAAAATTGCCAAGAAGAAAATGACATCAATGATGCTGAAAGTGTGCCAAAATTACTGGTAATTTTCCATATATCACAATCGAAACTATGTAACTGAAGTGCTGGATCAAAAGGAACCAAAATTAAGAAACCAATAACTTAAGTCCTTCTTACTCTTTTTTGGATCAGCGATCTTATGAGGCCCAAAAACACTTTAGCTCTGACAATTGCAACCCTTCTCTTAAAGTGTTAAAAAAAAGTTTTTTTAGGTTTATGCAGTTTGCATATAGTTAAAAACAAAAATCACATTCTTGGGTTCTCGAAACCCCATTAACGACAACAATGAAAATTAAAGGTTCAAAAGAAAGATATAAACATAAAATACATACATATATATATATATATATATATATATGGAGGAGATGGCTGGATCGGAGAAGCTGAGGGAGGTGTAGTTGGGGAAGGGGCGCGATAGATGTGGTCAAATGGGTTTTGTGTAATAGGAAGAACTCTTGGACCTGAGTTCTTGTCAAATCCCTGTAACGACATCATTTATATTAGAAGGAAAAGCACTCTTCGTGATGAATTGATGATGATGATAAAGCAATTAGAAGGAAAAGAACTCCTTAATTTCTTAATCAATCTGTGTGTGATAGAGAGAGAAAGCGACGGATATATGTTTGCTGATTCGTGAAGTAACAATTGCAATTGGGTTTCAATCTGTGTGTGTGAGTGTGTATTGGGTTTCAAGAGAGAGCAACGGCTATATTTTTCAATTTGTATGTGTATGTGATAGAGAGAAAGCGACGGATGTTGGTTCTTCTGATCCGAGTCTAATTAAGGATGTTGGTTTCACAAATTGGTCGTTACGGGACTCGACCCCTCAATTCTTAATCATGGTGCAGATCAAATGGACTCAAAACCCTAATGGGCATAAAAGGTGTTCGGTGGGGTGACTCAAAAAATTGGGGCACCAAAGGTGATGGCAACATAGCCAAAGGTAAAGGCATTTAAAGATTTTTATCATGTTTTATAGGAGTATGTACATATGGCCCATATTGGGATAAAAATAAAACTACTCTCTTTTTTTTTTTGTTTTTTTTTTTTTTTTTCAAGGTATATGAATAAATACATTTTGGGGTTGTTTTAATATTTATATCTTTAAAATTTTTTTATAAGTTTTATATCTTTAAATCTTATTGGCTCGTCGATAGTATATAACCCCTTATACGTTTTAATAAGTTCATAACATTCAATTTTAGAGCAAATTTTGGGCGACGACTTGATATATTCGGCGTCGGTGTAGTGCATATATATCCTTATACATATTAATAAGTTCATAACATTCAATTTTGGAGCAAATTTTGGACGATAACTTGGTATGCCCAGCGTCGGTTTAGTGTGTGTGTGTGTGTGTATATATATATATAAGAGCTTTATCGAAAGAGATACGAGTGTTTTTAAAATTTTATATCTTAATAGTAATTTCAAACTATTTTTTACTCATTTTTTATATTTATGGACTTATATACACAACATAAGCACTTCTTTGCTCATCTTTTTCAAACTTAACGGATTTATATATATAACATAAAGAATAAATGTGTTATTTGCCTAAAATGTAAATATTAGGTGTGTTTTTCACACTTTACCCAATCATTTTTCTTGTGCAAATTAATTTTTCCTTTATTTACTTTTTCTCATTTTAGCAACTCCCCTCAAATTTTTATATATATTTTTTAGCTAAGGCAAAAAATATATATATATTAATATAAATATTATTAACCTTTCCAGTAGTTTGAGCAAATTATACACTAGAAACCTACTAGAGACCGAGATCAAGGCACAAGAATAAAGAGAGGGGCTAACCTCCCCAGTAAAATAAT